GAGAAATAAAAGAGAACCCTCTCTGCAAAACCCGGCCTGCCACTCTCTCAGATGCCTGGATCTAACTCTCTGGGTTTTTAAACAACAGGATATCCCAGATAATGTTAAAACAAGTTGCAGCAGAAGAGTTCCTGAATAGTTTTCCCTTCCTCCCCAATAGCATTTGCAACACCTCTCCAAATCCCGAGCTATCTCTTAATCCTTGAATCTCTATTTCTTACACCAGTTCTTTTTATTTCGCTGTGATGCCAAGAGATAAATTATATATTTCAAGAGATAAATTTTTTTTTATATATAATTCTTTATATATATATAAAAAGAAGTGGGAGAAAATACTCAAGCTTACATTTAACTTTCTGAAATTAATTGTGTTTGTTTTTCAGTGCATGTCTCCTCCTTAAGGAGCTGCTTCCAAAGTCATCAACTCTCAAGAGAAATTTCGTGCGTGACACCGAGGGGATTGCAGTGGCAAAACCCTTGGTCTTTCAGTGAAAGCAGCCCATAAACAGTGGCTTTTCTTGGTCAAGTACTGATGCCCTTCGTGACTGGCAAATCATTCTTGCTCTTAACACCAACACTGGGAGAAACTGGGGCTTATTTCTCCCACAAAACTTTGGTCTAGGGGATAAGAAGTCTCTGATAAACCAAAAAGGGCCCCGAGATGTGAGCGGACAGGTGAGTTTTAGCCTAAATAATGCTACAAAGAGTTGATCTGTTGCAGGGGGAGGACTTTAGTCAGGAGCCTGTTTTCACACGCAACAGTCACCCAAGGTCAGGACATCATCTCATGCGAAACCCAGGTGGTTATAAGTTGCTTTTCCGAATTTAAGGCCGCCGCTAGCTCGGGCTATGAGTAAAGCCGACTGAGATACACAGGCACTGCCAGAGGTCAGCAGCCCCTCAACCTCAGCTGGTTATTTCAATCGAGATTACTGGGACTCATAATTATTGTCCAGTGGCTGGTGAGGGCAGCAGCTTGGACAAGCTGAGGAAGCGGCTCTACAGAGCGTCTGTGGCCTGAGGCGTGTTACCACGCTGGCCAAAGAACCTTGCTGTCCTTGGCTTCTGGTTTGTCCCAGACCTTCTACACGGAGCAGATGGGAGGACGGGCGGTGCGTGGTCTACTCTTTGCTGTACTATGAAGATCACGGCGTAGGAGCACTGCCTGGGGTACTTGGCAAACGTCAAATCATTTTAGAGGGGCGTGAAATTTTCTGCAACTGAGTCAATACCGGAATGAATTACAAAAATTTGTTTGACTAAATCCAGATTTAAGGATAACTCCCCCCAGTTCATAACGGCACTGTAGCAATGTTGGGATTTCCTCCGGTACCGACCTTTATAAATTCTTTCCATTGTCTTTCTCAACTTAGTGGCATCACAAGAACGACATGGATATCACCATATTTAAGGGGGGGGGGTTTGATACTTGCGCTGACTCTCCTGTTGCAAACTTAATTTCAGAGTTTCATAGGAAGGAAGGGAAGAAATTAGAGTTTTATTTTAATTTGTTCTGTAACTCCTAAAGGAAGCTCTCTAAAAAATGTCTCTCTCACCAGCGCTTTTTCTATTTCCTGAGACAAGTTTTTCTATCCTTCTAAACGTAGACTTTGATTTCTAACGTCAGAATAAATTGCTGTGGTTATCTCTTTGGATCTGATGAGTAACAAACTTTTTAACTTCTTCAGGAAGTAGAATAAACCTTCCTATTTACAAAGTGACTTTATCAAACCAATAAAATCGTTAGAAATAAATTCCATCATGCACTTTGCTTGCTTTAAAACGTGTTTTGAGACAAACATCCAATACGTTGTTCAACAGTTCCTGCTTCTGGTACTTGTATTTCCTAACAAAAATAAATGCATTTTTAAGATTTTTTGTGGGGAAAAGAGGAACGTGCTGACTCTGTCTCTCTGCATCTCTGCTTTCCTACAGCAACTGTGTTACGACGATGGCCAAAGGGAATCGCACCTCCACCGCTGAATTTGTGCTCTCAGGGTTCTCAGGGCAGGGGGATGTCCAGGCTGTCCTCTTCATGGTCTTCTTGGTGATCTACGTGATCACTCTGCTAGGGAACCTGGGGATGCTCGTGTTAATCAGGCTGGATGCCCAGCTTCACACCCCAATGTACTTCTTCCTGAGCAGCCTGTCCTTCCTAGACGTCTGCTATTCCTCCTCAATCACCCCCAGACTGCTCTCAGATCTCCTAGCAGAAAGGAAGGTAATTTCTTACTCTGCGTGCCTCGCACAGTTTTATTTCTATGCGGTCTTCGCCACCACTGAGTGCTACCTCTTGGCTGTGATGGCGTATGACCGCTATGTGGCCATCTGCAGCCCACTGCTCTATGCCATCTCCATGTCCAGCAGAGTTTGTGTGCTGCTGGTAGCTGGCTCGTACCTTGCTGGGATCGTGAATGCCACTATCCACACAGGGTTTGCTCTTCGACTGTCCTTCTGTGGTCCCAACGTCATCAACCATTTTTACTGCGAGGGGCCCCCGCTTTATGCCATCTCTTGCACAGACCCCGCCATCAATGAGACTATGATGTTCGTTGTGGTTGGCTTCAACCTGTTTGTCACCAATCTGACCATCCTCCTTTCCTATGCCTACATCCTGGCCACCGTCCTGAGGATGCGCTCGGCCATGGGCAAACACAAAGCCCTCTCAACGTGCACGTCCCACCTGACTGCTGTGACCCTCTTCTATGGATCTGCTGCATCCATGTACTCACGACCCAGCTCCAGGCACTCCCAGGACCTTGACAAAGTGGCCTCTGTGTTTTACACCGTAGTGACCCCCATGCTGAACCCCCTCATCTATAGCCTGAGGAACAAGGAGGTGAAGGATGCACTGGAGAGAGTGATGGAGAGGAAACATTAATCTGAAAAATAGTTTTCCCTAGTGCTTCAGAGGAATTGAGAGGTCTTCTCAGAATTGTTTATATTTTCCATTTCCGTGCTGCTGTGATGTAAAAGCAGCAGTGCTCTCCTGTGAACTACTGGGGACAAACGTATTGGGAAACCTCTGCCTTGCTCCTAAATACCGGGTCATTATCTCCTCTTGGATTAGGCCATTCACTGACTTGTCCCAGGGATGCGTTAGCTGCTTTTATTCGTGTTTGCAGTCTGATATGATTTTAATTTCAAGAATTTAAGTGTTCCTGACCATTTGCAGTGCTTGCAACTTGCTCAAGGACCAGAGAGCTGGCATTTCCTATGAATAATGGCAAAATTACCCACTGGTCGGGTACCTGCTCCCTGTCCTGGCATTTTGATCTTATTCTGGTTATATTATTATTAACTGCTTTTGCTTAGTTTTGAGCCATTGTGTGATTTCCCCTCTAAAATAAATCAAGAGATGCAGGGGAACGACTAACAGACTTTAGCAACTATAGTGTAGCTAACTCCATAGACCAACAGGAGAGAGAAGTGTGCTGACCAGGAACAAATATGGGGTAGAAACATTTAGAAGTGATCCCGAGCAGACCCAAGACTGGCATGGAAGAAGCTCCCACTGCAACCAGTGCTCCCACCAAACACAACACCACACCTCCTCAACAAGGAGCTCAGGGTGCTGCTGGGTCACTGCATCAGCCCACCAAAGAAGAAGGACCTCAGTCTGCGCGTGGGAATTTAACCTCAGGGATGAGGGGCAGGTACTTTAATCAGAGAAACCTTGAGGAGCATTGCTCACCATCTGTCCAGGCCCACGCAACTGTCCTTGATACAGTCACATGCCAACACGGTGACCCTCCAACTCACTGGCTTTGGGGCCTGGACTAGCTCACTACAAGCAAGGCAGCTGTAGAGGTGCACTTTGTCGTTAACAAGGAAGAAAGTTTCTTTCTTGTTAGCCCCTGCTAATTAGTCTCTCATGGCTTGTTAATAAGAATGAGGTAAGTTGACTACAATCCCACTGAGAAGCTTTCATGGCGATTAGGAAACTTTCTTGGTAAACCCCAGAAGGTCATGTTAAGCTGATGACTCCTGGAAGAGTGGTTGGTCCCCAAGGACCACTTTGTGCTCTGGGAGGGGGAGCAGCATTGCTTCTGATGGAAATAGCTGTAACCACCTGTACGGCCTGGAGCTCAGGCCTGCTGGAGGGCCTGCTGGAGGGCTTTCAGTGCCGGTACGAGCTTAGTCTTACACCCTTATTAAAGAAAGAGACATCCTTGTCTTCATAACGTGGTTCCCTTGGTTCTCACTAATGGGGTGATGTGTCCCTGCCTGCTTTTGACCGCCTAGGAGAGGCAGCCAGGGAAGCTCGTTGCATTTCTCCTCACCTTTGGACCTCCTCAGGAACACCTCACACCTCAAATTTCTTGTCATTAATTGCCTTGGAATAGGTTTGCTTGTGTCTTTTTTAATTCTTAAGCTGCAAGGCAAGTTGAAGTACATGCATCCTCCATATCTGACTGGTTTTCATAAATGTGTTTTTCCTACCATTATGAATCTGGGACTGGAGAATAAGCATGGGAATGGGTTCACCCGTCTCTCAACATCTGAAAAATTCATTGTCTAATTATGAGATAGGCAGGTCCTCTCTAAAGTATGTGGGAATAAGAGAATGTTTTATCACATCCTACAGCAGAAGGTTAGGGCGGACGTGGTGCAACAGGAGCAGGTCTGAACATCAAAAGGACTGGTACCATGGACCCACTGTCTATGGTATATACATTTCAGAATAGTTTTGCCTGGATTAAGTTTATTCGGGTCTGGGGATCTGAACACCTCCTGGAGGTCACACTGCATTAGGTGCCCCCCTCAAGCCCATTTTCAGCTTGTTTGCATCCAAAAGGAACCCAGCTTGTGCAGCCTGCTCCCAGCCTGCGATGAGAACGAAAACACGGTGAGGGGAGAAAGCTGGAAGATCTTCAGACTTAAACTCTAGAAACCGCACTCTTTATCTGAACAAAAACTAGAAAAATAGAAACACCCCTTTATTGATCACAAATGGACACAAGGAGCTCTGACTTATTCACTCAATTTTTTAAAATCTAAATTCGAAGGAGATGAATCTACTTCAGACCACCTAATCCTTCCTCCCAACAGGCTTAATAATAATGATAAAAAGACCTTTATTGTGTTTTTTTTTTTTCTTTCAGTTGGACTAAAACTTTATACAGGAAAAAAAGGAACTTTAATACCTAAGAAACCACTTCACCTTTTTTTGCATATTTTCCTACAAATGGTGCTGGAAACTTTTGCTTAGGTTGCAGGAAAGGAGGAAGATGCAATGAAATTCCTCAGGCCAGGTCCCGGTTTGGTTGCCCTCATGTAGAAATTTGGTTCCATTTCCTCTCTTCTGAGGTGCCAAGGACATTGGCATGCACTTGACACGTATGCCATGCAACCTTTGGAAGAGTTGGGCCATTTTGGAGTGGCATCTGAAAGCTCAGAGGGAGACGTAGGGTCATCTCCATCTCCATCTCCATCTCCATCTCCATCTCCATCTCCATCTCCATCTCCATCTCCATCTCCATCTCCATCTCTATCCAACATCTCCAGGGTTAATAGTTTACATTTGAGGCAACTGAACTCAATCCCACATGCCTCTGTGCCTCTTGACATTGGTTCTTCCAATCTGACCCACCCTGGTGTGAACTTTTCACTGGGAAAATAGTCTAGGACTATGAAAAGTATGTTCATGTGGTGCAATACAGCGTCATGAAGAAATAACTGGGAGAGCTCAGGGGCAGAAGCATGTTACTTGATGACACATGGAGCTCCACCTGAGCTGCTGGTTTGGGCGTAAGTTAAAGGAATATTTAATCCAGATAAAGCACGGGGTGAAGAGGATGATGTACGACAACGAGGCCAGCCACTGCTAAGATCCCATTTTATAGTGGGTATAAATTGTATATGGGGAGAGGTAGGAAGGAGAGGAGGTCTGTCTGCACGGTGACATCTCCTGTCTGTCAGGAAGCACTTCAGGATCAGAAAGGCTTATGCTCCTGCACCTATTGTGAAAAGCAACAAACGAAAACACAAACAAGAAAAGATAGGTATGCTTCTTGCCGTATGCATCTTCGGAGACGCAATCCCTCGTTTTCTTCTGCTAAGAAGCTGTCTGTCTCTTTACCAGTCTCTTCAGTGGCTCCTTCACCTCCAGGTTCTTCAGGCTGTAGATGAAGGAGTTCAGCATGGGGATCATCACTGTGTAAAACACAGAGACCACTTTGTCCCTCCCCAGGACGTAGGTGCAGCTGCACCAGGCATAAATGAAGAGGATGAAGCCGTAGTAGAGGGTGACAGTGGTGAGGTGGGTGGCACAGGTGGAGGAGGCTTTGTGCTGCCCCTGCTTCAGGACAGCAGGCAGGATGGAGGCGTAGGATGTGAGGATGAGCACGGAGGGGAGGACGACATTAGAGGTCAGGATGAAACACAGGAGCACCTGGTAGCTCTCTGTCACGTTGCAGGAGAGCTTCACCAGTGGGGGCAAGTTGCAGAAGAAGTCACTGGTGTCACTGGTGTTGCAAAACCTGAGGGCGAATGTGTGGTGGGTAAGGAGGGTGGAGTTGGCAAAGCCACCGAGGTAGGAGGCAGCCACCAGCTCCATGCACGGCATCTTGGACATGGCAGCGGCGTAGAGCAGTTGGTTGGAGATGGCCACGTACCGGTCGTAGGCCATCGCTACCAACAGGTAGCACTCGGTGTAGGCCAAGCCACCGGAGACAAGAACTGAGCAGCACACCCCGTGAAGGGGATGCTCTTGTCCTCGGAGTCGCAGTTCAGCAAGGATCTTGGGGGTGTAGATGGAGGAATGTCAGAGATCCAGGAAGAACAAGCTCCCAGTGAAGAAGTACATGGGGGTACGGAGCCGTGAGCTACGGTGTATCACCGTGATGAGGGTGATGTTGCTCACGAGGGTGGTGACGTAGGCGAAGGTGAACACCATAAACAAGAGAAGCTGCAGCTTCAGGTCAGTGGTGAACCCCAGGAGGATGAAGCTGGTGACCAAACTGTGGTTCTCTCCTCCATGAACAGGGGAAAGGGACTGACCTGGAGACACGGATCACGGTGGCTATTCAATAGTCACAGTGCAGGCTCTGGGAACACCAGCTAAGGGAAGGGGTTCCGTGTTGCTGGCGTTCCTCTGTACCAGAACGCAGCTCCACACACCAAACACAGACACAAAAGGAAAAAGCGGAGTAAATTTGGAATTGAGAAGGGCTGCGCTGTTATCGTTTTGGTTGTGCTATTTTATGTCAAATAGAGGTTTGGTGTTTGCATCGCTCTGCATCACTTTGAAACCTGCATTTGCTGTGCACGTGCGTACATACATGCACTGCGCGTGGTGCGATGCATACGGGTATGCACACAAGCAGTTTTCATATGCATATAATGCATTAAATTCTTAATAAAATATATATGGCAAACAGGATGAAAACGTGAGTGGGTATATACACGTATATCTGTAGATGTTTGCTGACTGTGCATTCCCTGACCTTTGTGAATGCGAAATCTCGGTGTTGCATTAAATTACTCGTACATTAAGCTCCTTAATTTGAAGTACATATGGAGAAACTGGAGATACACGTTGAAGACAAATGCATGTAGATTCGCCATCTGGTACAAACCAACACAGTTTCATTAAATTTGTTTTCATGAGTCACACCAGTAAAAGCACCGTCTCATTAAGTTTTCTGTTTTGCTTGAGCAAACATTGAATTGTTGGGTGTACGCCCTAAAAGTCATAATTACAAATGTGTGTATCTGGGAATACCCTTATTTTTCGGCACATTACCTGAAAGTGGCAGTCATCCAGCGTGTGCATGTGTTTGCACACCTGAGTACAGGCACACTTCCATCTACAGAAGCCGGAATTCATCTCACCTGTCATCATCAGCCTGAAAACTAATTATTTAAGCTCTTTCATAGCCAATGCATTGATAGACTCTTCCACAGGGAGACCAGAACATGAGTTGTGTCCTGTTGCTTCCTTGCAACATTCCCTGTGCTCCAACCAGTTTTGTGAAGACCCTCTCCAGGTGCCCCTGGTGCTGGCTGCTTCCCAGAGGTGCTTGACGATTTTCTCATCCGGCCTCATGTGTTGATTCTCATGTTTGTCATCAGGTAACGCACGGGATGGGCAGAGATGAGGAGACAAAGAAAAGAAAAATGAATCCCCTTGAAAATTTATCTTCTTGGCTCTCCGTGACACCGTATCCCTTGTTGGTTCTTTTTGCCCAGAAATACTTACTCATGGTCTCGTCCAGCAAGTTTAGATCACAAGTTTAGAGATCACAAGAACAAAAGCATGATGACTCTCTCTGTGTGACATCGCCACACCAGCTCATCTCACAGGGCAGAGCAAGCCGGGTATTTCCTCGCCTCTCCCAGCACCACCCGTTGCGTGTGGCTGGGGATATTTCTCCATTGCCTCGTTCTGCGTTTCCTTAAGGACTCGGTCCCTGAAGAGCGTAGTTCAGCTATTCTGTATGTCCTTTGCAACGAAAAAATTGTTGCTGCATAGTTACGCATCCCCCAGAGATCCCCTGCGTTACTCCCCACACCTCAGAAAGAGAATTTTCAGAGCTTTCATGGTTTTCCATGTTACATGAACCTTTAGGGCCCTGTGCTCATTATTTTCATCGCTATAGCTGCAGAGCAAAGACGCAATCTCAAGAATATCCAAGGTATTTGCATTTAGTCGATGATATCTTTTTACCAGTCTGCATCCAGGAGGAAACAAGAACTCTTCCTAGGAGTCTCTCCAGAGCATCCTTCACCTCCGTGTTCCTCAGGCTGTGGATCAGGGGGCTCAGTGTGGGGATCACCAGGGTGTAGACAACAGACGCCACTTTTTCCTGGTCCAGGGAGTAACTTGAATTCTGCAGTCAAAGGGGATAAGTGGGAACTTTTAGGCAATATTCAGATAAGCTATTTAGGATGTTTATTTTGGAGTACCTGGCAACAGGGTGGAGAATGGTCAGATGACGACGTCTATGCCTGTAGATGACAACATTCAGCTAAATGATGCGCAGACTCAACAGCTGGTACGCAAAATAAAAGCACTGAGGTAGCTATAAATAACCTGTAAAAGAACAAAAAACCCACCCTGCAACCCCATACTTAGCTTTTCATTTCTCAAAAGATTTTGTTCACAATTTCATTTTGATATTTCTTTCTGGAGTCCTGCAGGCTGGGATGCTCAATGAGAAATCCCACGCCAACCCGGGGGACTGGCCGCGATGACTAGCCAGTGCACCGCGTGCCAATGCCATTGAACGATTCATTTCACACCTTATCATTTATTTTTTTTTCCCCTTTGAGCAATTCATTGCTCATCAAGTCCGTGTTGAAATTGTATAGATTTTGGTGGAAGAAAATTAAACTTCAAGCGCAGCTTACGAGCATGTTTGGAGTGAGCCGCGCACTGCTGTTAGCCCATGCAGACCAGCTGGTTTCCAGAAGTGAAAGATCTGCACCAGCCAAGCGTAGAGTCCGCTTATGAATTTGTCTGGGTGCCTTCTCTCATTCTCAGGACAAATTTTTGCAGCTGGAGTCCAAAAACTGCCA